AGTAATGGGAAAGGAATTCCTAAAAAAAAAGATATTTTCCTATAGGTGGGTATAAAAAGCTGTCTGCATATCTATAGTTTAAGAATATCTTGATGTTTCCCATTTCTGCTCCTGTCTCTCCCAACAGCAGTAACATGAAAATGGCAAAAACCAGCTCTTTAAAATACCTCAATGAAGAGATGAAATGCATATATACAACATGAAAATCCTACAGAAAATAGTTCTCCAATTATCTGAAACCAACTGTAGCTCCATCAGAACAGGGTTACAAAAAAAGGACCAAATATTCCATATGCACATTCATCATACATTTTAAAATAGTGGTTTTAACTTTACTATACTCAGCCCTCCAGAGTCAGTCAGAGTTGCACAAGTGTGCTGTGATTATTTTTATGGTTCATAAATCAGTCACTGACCAATTTCCAGTTGTAGTTTGTTAGAGATAATTGCAGATGGAACAGCTTGACTTTTAGAACCAATTAGACAATCACAATACACAGTTCCACTTCTTCCTTTATTTTTTTAAAATCAATCATCCAAGATAATTTTATAGCAGAGTGAAAACAAGCATTTGAGAGAAAGCTGATGAATACTAGGGAGGCCTATCTTAAGTAGGCAGATGATACTCATGGTGAGCAAGGTACAAGGAAGTGCATGTTGAGGACTAACAGGAGCTACTGAAGCACTTTTGAGTTTGAAATTGGAACTATTGAGGGGGAAGAAGCAGGGTATCAGAGCAAGAATAGCATTATTTCATACTAGGCATTAAAAAGCTGGTATTGTCAGTGAAATAAAAATCTGAGAACAGAATGGAACTAAAACCACCTATTTGCTCTCTGCCTGCAAAACTTCAGCTTTGACCATCAGACCTAAAAGCAGGAGAAAAGCAAGTTCAGACAGTCTGAGCAGAGGCCCAAAATAACTTCAGCAGTCCTCTGCTTCATGAATCCTCTGTTTTAGAGAAGAAAGAAGTATGCAATAAAATGATGCAGAACATAACAGAATGGAGACTGAAAGGTAAATAAGCTCCTGTTGCTAACTCATAGCTAGCTATAAAGAAATGAAAGGTTACACAAAGATCAGTTAGAAAGCATTGTATCAGTTTTTACACAACCCATAACCAAACTGCTACCACAAATTATCTAAGAATTTAGGATTCAGGAGTGTTTCTATGGATAAAGGAAACAGCTACAATTGTATCAACAGTGATTAAAAAAGTCTACATAGATTGTTTTAAAACATTAACCCATCAATGATCAGTTTCAGGGTTAAAGCCAAACTTAACCTCATTTTAAAAGTATCTAATACAGGAATTCAGAGATAGCACATTCTTTAGCACCTTCACTAGTACACAGACTGCTGTTAACAGGGGTCCATGGAAATGCACTCAGTAGCAAGACAACGTAAAGTGGAAAAAAGATAAAGCTCAACACACTTAGTAACTTAAAGAGAATTCAATCATGGATGAGATGACAGCGAGTGCAACAAAATGCTAGAAAATAAAATTGAGTTAGCTTTTTTTTTCCCCCTTAAGAATTCTCTACACTGTTAAAACACATTTTATCAAATAAAGTCTCCTAAACACTTTTTAAAAGTTAGTTATTTCTGAAAGTTAAAAGGCATAATTTAAATGCCTCTTCAAGTTTCCACCCATTTGATACTAAAGAAAGTGTTAAAAAGGTCACAGCAGTTTGTTTTGAAGGATTTTTCATATAAGAGCTCTGCTGCCACCACAAGGATACAGAAGATGAAAGAGACAATCTAAAACTTCTAAAACTTAAGCCTTCTAGAAGGTTAAGCACATAACATGACTGCATCAGTAACATACAGCAGAGCTGGTTTGTGCACGTGGCTTTTGAGGTTTTGTGTTACCTATTTGAATGGTTTTACTAATGCACTTGGAATGGCTGCATTAGTAATGCCTGCCAACTTTTGTCACAGAAATACAGTACAGCCCCATTCTCAAATATTTTAGCAGTGTTTTAGAGTGCTTTATTGGACAAATTTGGGTACTATTCCTCCAGAAAACCAGGCTGCCTTCATATAATTGATGAGTGGAAGATGAAATACTGACTTTCACGTCCATCATTGGCCAAGACCGGATACTATCTATAGCGCTACTGTGCAAATTCACACAATATTCCACTTGTGGAGATGAGCACATTCTCCAAACCATGCTGTCCAAGTGTTGGAAACAAAGGATTCAGGAAGGCTGGATTAGTGGGTACAAGTGGAGTGTTAAGAGATAAAAGTAACCTGGGTTACATCTCATGGCTTTCATTTGCTACCAGTCTCTCACTTCGTCATGTAATTCTGTGGTCTACAGTTAACATGTACCTACCACAATTATTAATGCACAATCACAAATAACTTGACTGTGTAGCCATATTGTTAATAAGCCAGTCCAATTCCATATTTTCCATCTCAGAAGCGTGTGTAGCCTGGAATCTAAGCACTTGGACACTAATCAAGCTTCAAAACACATAGGAAGGTATGCACGAAGCTTTACAGGTGACAGTCAGCCAAAGACCTGAAAGAGCACCTGATAGAGTATCCATCAGGAACCCTGGATCTGACTGAGACCCACCTTTCCCATGTTTATTAGTCCTTTCAAAGGGCACACTTGGAACGGATGAAGAATGTCTTCAAAGAACAGACTCACTCTAGATGCTAGTTACCACCTAATTACAATCTGTATCCCAAGCAAAAACACTGTCTGGGGAATAGCCTTGCAGCTTACCAACATCCCCAATGGCTATTTATGCTCAAATTTTTTTAAGCTCCTTTTGTACTGGAGGCACAGTGTAACAACAGCATTTCTACAGAAGCACAACTTGGAAGTTAGGACCAACATGTGGTACTTACTTTTTGTGATGACACTTCAAAACACATGAAGTGACAACATGACAAGTCAGAGAACACTTACTGAAACCGCACATTTGTTTAAAATGGAGACTCTGAAGACAAAAAGTAAAGAATTAAAATTTTGCAATTTGTTTTTTTAGTGTGGGGTTTTTTTGTTTGTTTTTTTTTTTTTTTTAAGCTATAAAATGTGAGCTTGCAATTGTGGTGCTTCAGTGCCCCATGGGGAAAAAACAAAATCCAAGGGGGATGTTGGATTTTATGTTTTCTTTTTAAAGTTAAGCTACTATGTCCTTTTCTCTTGCTGAATCTTCCATTTCAACACCCATAGACAAAGTTCCTGGGTTTTTTTTGTTCGGGGTTGTGGAGGTTTTTTTCCTCTTTAACTTGAAGGTAAAAACACCCTAAAATGCTTCATAATCAGTAATTTGAGTCTCCCGGTATTTGAGATTCCTGCATGTTTATTCTATGAAATTAATCACATGCAATTAGCAAACTGATGCAAGAATAAAATGGAAAAGAAGATTAATACACATCTTCCATCATCACTGAGGATAGGAAGTTAAGTACACATAGTGTCAGCAGTTATTCCCACCCACAGTCTTAACATGTGGCAGTATTTTAATCTCTGTAAGAAAGATACCATGAACAAAGCTAGGAGAACAGATAAAAATATATGTACATTCTTGTCCAGTTGCACTATTGGTGTACTAATTTTCTAGCAGCTGAAGCGTAAAACTTGTAGTCCAAAAACTTTCTCTAGGAGTGAAATACAGGGACAGGAACAGAACCTGTTAACTTAATTACCCAGTCAGTGTCTTGATTCAACCTAATATGAAAACAGAAACACAAGGGCAAACCAAAATCATACTAGCTGATAAAAAATAGGGAAAAGGTGTTTATGAAAACCCACAAAACCACACACACATATTCTACTTCACTTTCTAGAAAGTCAGATGCTCATGAAGAGATTTTACAGATGAAGAAAGTCACAGATCTCATTCATCATTCATAGTGCCAAAAAGGAAATCAAGTATTAGATAAAACTCATCTTCAATTTGCCTTTTGAAAAGAAACAAATGGCTGACGTGTACCCTTTATCTACCTAATGTAGCTAACGTTCTTTAACAACCAATTCTGGCAGGGTTCCTGGTAAAAGCAAAAGGGAGATTATTGCTCAGTGCTCTGCAAGACTCTTCTGACAGCAAGGTCATGTAACAGTAAATTGACAACCAACTGCTTCACGTAGCAAGACAAGAGCAGTCACTGCGCTGACGCACATGTCCTTTGTGACAATCTCCCTTAGAGCATTTCATACAGGAACTATGACTCCGAATTTGTTAACACTGCCCAGCTGTGGTGGGACCAACCTCTGAAGTCATTCTGCAATCACAGTGGCACAACTACCAACAATTTTACAGGGGCCAGGTTTCACTTACATTTTAGTGACTCAGGTAAAATGACATTTGAGGCAAAGTTAAAGGGCAGAGGCAGTTAGTTCCCTACAGGAGTGACGAAAACAGCCAGGAGTGGCCTGCTTTACACAATACCTAAGTGCAGGTGCGCTGCTCCCCCCTTTGAACAGAAGGATGGGATGAAACAGAATTCAAGATGGTGCAGTAACTACACTCTGATTCTGTTCCACGTGGCACTTCTCCCAAATGCAACTTGCCTTTCACTTTTCCAAGTTCCTCTACTCAGAGGAACTTGGGGAGTGGGAAGACAGACTGTTGATTCATCAGGAATGTCAATACAATGGAAATTACAAGTGTTATGGATTACTGTTAGTCCTGCTCACATCATGGTCTTGTATTTGTTGCCTGGGTAAAGAAAAAAACAAGAAAAAAAAGCAGACCACTCTTACTGAGCATGGTTTCTCAGGGTCACCTGCAGTCATACCATTCTACAAAACTTTTTATCAGTCAAAGCAGTATTTGTGCAGCTATGTTAAAACTAGCAAACATTTCTATAAATCAGTTAGCACTGTACTTGTTTCAGTATTGCCACCAACACTTCTTGAAAGACAAAAAACCCCAGCTGTTTCTAGAGCGAACTGCATTATCTGTCTCTTTCAAGTCCACAGCAGTATTTTAAAAGATATATCTAGTTCAATATATGTATCTAAAAGGAAATAGTACCTTTAATGTTCTAGTTGGAGCCCAGCCAGTGCCATCAATTGAATGTTCTCTCAATAAACTGGAAAAAAGACACAGATATTATACAGTGCAACTTCTAGTTAAACAACCTTTGTCAGAAATCTTCTCAGAAAACATTAAGAACTTCAGAAGTAATTGCAACATAAGAATTGCCTCTTGCACTACATCTAGGTACTGGGATTTTACAGCACAAGAATTGGCATGTCTTCCTAGAATTACATTCTACGTAGCGTCATTACAGATCTCCTGATCTGAGCTCAACCTTTGTCAAAAAAACTGAATTATTTTCATCAAGCAAAACAAGCGTGACAGAAATCCTTGTGATGCAGTCTCAACATTGAACCTTTATTTTCCCCTGAGCACACAGACACATATGCTCCAGTTTAGAACATGTTCATCTTTGGTGAACAGACAGGTTTGCAGAATGACCCATCTCTCACCAAACCTGGCACAATTCAATCCAAAAAAGGGTATTTTTGGTGGGATATCTAATTAGGAAGAAAGAGGATTACCATCCTCTCATCTGTGAAAGGACTCAACTTCTCAGAGGCAGGCATAGGAAAGTGAGATAGTTTTGGTCTGTCTGCTCAGGAAGGTTGTGCAATAGCCGAAATGAGCAGATGCATCTCAGGCCTCTGGGGACACAGCACAGGACAGTCTAGCATCAGGGTCTTACAGTCCTCTTCCAGCAGGTTGAGCTATATTGCACATAGAACATTTTAAGGCTTTACAGGCAAACTCAACATCATACATCCCCAACTGGAAATCATGAAGACTACTCTGGGCAAAAGAGATTGCTTACAGGAGGAAAAGGTTCCTTGTAAACTATAATACATGCTTTTGAATTTTAATGTAAATACACAGGAATATTAATATAGATAATTAAGATACAGACTTTCCTATATACACACATACTGTATAGAAATTTTATATGACCTGCATATTATGCTACAAGCTGTTGACCTATTTACCAGTTGAAATTGAGCTGTAGTCAGTTGGTTAGGCATTCCTACCTTTCAGGTCAAAATATCAGCAGTTATGAAGTCAAAATATTGGAGACCAGAGCACAATTGAGAAATGAGCTAAAGTCTTGCTCACATTCGTGAAAAAAAAAGTAATAATCTGAATGAGAAAGCCTGGAAAACTCCTTGAAGCATCATTTCACAATCACATCTTCCTCTGTGAAGAAGTAATCTAAAACTGAAAACTCATACAGCAAAGTAGCAAAGCACAAAAATTCATCACCACCAGCAGCTTCTACTACTGAAATGATAGTGTTAAAGTGAAATAGTCTTAAACTATTAGGTTTTACCAACATTCAGGACGACATGTATTAAGTCATTTTTAAATTACAGCAGATGACCGGACCACACAGGCTATCCATATAGTTATTTATTGAATGCGCTGAGTTTTTAATCCAAGGAAATACACTATGACTAGCATTACTCCTTCTTCAATGTAGAGAGGCTAGGAACAGGTTGATGATACTGGACAAGACTTTTCCATCTTAACTGTGATGCTAATCTCATTTCTGTGCCTTTAAAAAGATAAAATATGCCATTACCACTAGTGCAGCTCAAAACTAAAGAACGTTAAAAAGAGCATCTTGTGGCTGCGATTTTTGTTCATATTACAAAAGTCAAAGCAAAAATGCTGACCAAGCAAGAGCCAGAATTTTCATGTTTTGAGCAAATAACAGACTTTTTAGCTTGCTATCTGTCTGCTCCTCATAAAATTTTGCTACATTACTACCATTCACCTTTTCATATAGCTCACTGTGAACTTAAGAGTGAGGAATAAGTTAACACACATAAAAAAAAGCATAAAAATATCCAGTGATAGGGCTCAAAGTGTCTGAGCATGTCAGCTAAGCCCTGTAATATCCCTCCACCTTCCCAAAGCCTCAGAGCTCGCTCTCTCAGCATATCTCCAGCTGTGGACATCAGCAGCCAGGACTTGAAAGAAGACACTCATACCCCTCATAGAGCTCTGGCAGAAAAGCAATGAAGATAGATAAGTATACCTCTGCCACATATTTCCAATTTGCTGATATAATTCATTTTCAGAGCAGCATCCTCTTTCTTCCTACAGACTGGGAACGATCATTAGGCCCCTAATCAAAACCTTTTCCCAGTACAGGGCGTCTAGAGAAACCACATCTCATACTCTCCATGGGGATGACCTAGATACAGCTGCCAGACGGTTGGGAGGTCTGAATGGTGATCTGCTCTCAGATCATCATACAAACAAACAGCAGAATGAACACTTAAGTGAGCAGAAATACACAAAATACATCATGAACTAGTTTAGTGGATGAACAAGCATCTGCATGTAGCTTCTGTTCAAAGACCTGTCATCCACAGGTCCTGCTGCCACAGAGGAGTTGGGTTACTAGGAAGTTCTCAAATGGCATAACCAGCAGAATTTTTCTTGCCCGCTCAGTGCTTCAAGAGGCTGCTTTTGACCAGCTGCCAGATATACCACAAAAGCCACCTGTTCTACCAGGTTTCGGGACACCTGATAGGCAGGAAAACCTGTTTACTTGAAGTGACTATTCTAAAATTGCCAGGACTTCACTTTCTCATACAGGAGTGCCAGAAAACTCATCTAAGATTATTTAGATTGAATAAGCATTCAGAAGCTTCCCTTGTGATGCTTGAGAATGAATTTGCAAAAGTAAAGAGAGGGGTAAACCAACTGAACAATTTCTGCAGCATTTCAGATTACTAAAGCTGGTGAGTGTGTGCATGCCTTGGGGAAGAACAGCAGGGCTGACAGGAGGGGCAGCACTGTGGTATGAGCAGGAGTTTGCCAGGCGGGAACTTCACCAGGAATTTGTCAGGCGGGAACTTCACCAGGAATGGGGAAGGACAGTAAAACACTATTTCCATTTGCTTTGTCTTCAGCTGTAACAGGGTCTGAGAAAAGCCAAGTGTCCCCTCAGTCATGGGGGGACTGGAACTGATAACCACACCTTAACATCTGGTGTTTGTATCTAAGGAGACCTCCCAGAACATGATTTCAAATCCTTGTTCTTGTGGGAAGACTGCAAAATCGCTATTTTTGAAGCTGTAGCAACCAAAACAGCCACTGATGTGACCAGCCAGATGCTTAGCTTTTGTTTCCACAAATATCTTCTCATTCTGTGAGTAATTCCAGCATGGAGAAAAGCTTTGAGGAATTTTTTCTTTTTAAATATACAGCATCCTAAAGAGATCTTGCAAAAACATCTACTGAACTGGGAACTGCATGGCTCTAGCAAGCTTAAAACTTTCTGAAACTCCAGCTGACATGATTCACAGCTTAAGTGACTAAAAATTACTGTAATGGGGAAATCAGTCCATGAAAAAAAAAAAATCTGCTTTATGTAAAGACCTCAGATGAACACTTTTATCAACATAAAATGTCAGTTCCAACAAAACTTTTGCCTTCCTTTTGCCAACAGAAAGTATCATTCAAGTTAAGTTTGAATTAAAAAGCTGTAAATCGACTTCAGAAACCCTCAGCTAGCAGGGACATGTTATAGAGGTTATTCTCTTGCTCACTTCCCACTGCCTACCTCCCTGCTCAACCCAGCACTGCCAGCGTAACCATTCTGGAGGCCATACTATAGACTGCATGAGTGGAGCAATTGGTATACAAAGTCTTTCTAAAGAGCTTTTTATTTCCACATTGGCACAGCTGAGGAGACTGGGAACAGCACTGGGGAACAGAAACAAGCCATCAACTTAATCAGGTTTTCTAACTGGAGAAATTGCAACACTGAGCTATACTAGACCATACAATTAATCAGTCTTCAAACACTTCTCCATTCAGCACCCTTTAATATTGCATCATGAAGCAACCAAACCTTAACCAACAACACCTATTGCCAAAAAAGACACATCCAACAATGCTGACCACCTCACCATGTAGCAGAAAAGCAGTGAAATTTCTGAGCAATTGAACTATTCTAAAAGCTTATGCAGTCAAGGAGGAAAAAAACACCTCAGGCAGAGATCACATTGGGGGGGGGGCAGGGGGTGAAGTCAGTGACATGCATTACACATTGTCAAGAAAGTAGTCAACTGGTGTATTTAGTAAGCAAGCATATCCTTTCTAGGTATCTTGATGTTTTCTATACACATGTGCAATGGAGGCAATATCCACAAGTATGGTCCAAACCTAATTAATATTGTCCAGAGTAACTGTAATCCATGAAGCACAGAGAAACAACACTTTTCCTGCCCAAAACTATTACACTTGACCACAAGTTTAATCATTTGTTATGTTTTAATTCAGGGATGATTGTCAAACCAACACATACCATAGTGTGAGGTATGTAAAAGACAGTTAGGAAAAATACTGATAAGGATTTTTTTTTCTGCTTTTAAAAATAACTGAAGCTATTTTCATGTAAAGACTTTTGTACAAGCTGATTGCAGGTACTATATATAGAGTGCATTCTCCATTATAACAGGCATAAAGCAATCTAAGTTATTTTAGTTTTTCCATCTAAACGTTAAGACATTTCAAAGATTTGATCTGTTAAAGTATGTGACAATCAAATAAAGCTGATGTTTCAGTGCAGATGCTGAAAAATAACTTCATTAAATAGAATCATGATGTTCCAACACTACGTTCATATTTCATAATTAAAACCATTTAAAGACAAGAAACAGTGAAATATCCTCAGGAGGGTGAGGAGGCTTTGTTTAACCTCAGAAGATGTAGCACTGTAGTCAGAGCTTGAACTTTTGGCCATCATTTGATCTCTAGTATTTCTTGTTCCCTGGTTCCAAACAGCTCACTTACTCATTCCTTTACTTAACACTACTTGACTCAAAGTGTCTAAGCTTTCTCCAGTGACTAAGCCACAAGAACTCTGGTGGAATTTAAACTGTAAAAATATGATCTGTCAAGTTCAGCTGTGTAAAATGCAACAGTCCTAGGAAGCACTGAGAAACACCACAGGTCTGGCAAATTTTCTAAAAGTAGCAATACCTATTTGCCAAAACAACCTTCCTGTATCACCTGCATATAGCTCCAAATTACCTAAAAAAACTGGTTTTCCACAGTTATCTCAGATGATTTAGTACATTTTCCACCACTTTTAAATCCTCCAATCCCAAAGTGAGGTAAAGTCTATGGATGCTAGCCCTCACTGCCTGTATTCCTACTGCAGTCTGGCCCTACCAAGCACCAGGAACCTACTACAGCCTCCCGAGACTGGTTTCTATCAGCCTTTGATGATACGAGCTTCTTGGAAGCATGGAACAGAGCACTGTGGCTAAAAGAACTGATATCAGCTCTTTAGCTGTTATCAGCTGATGAGCCTGACCTCCCTATGAAGTGTGACAGATTACCCTGTGAAAACTTCATTTTCACCAGGACCTTGAACACAGCTTTTTAAATCTAGAGATTTAAATCAGATTTAAAAGTCTAGAGGAAAAAATTAGCTTTTTTTTTTTTTTTAAGCGCCAATTTGCCACACATGGTGGCAACTGCTTTAGATTTTCAGAACAACTTTCAATCTCACTTAGATTCACTGCTTCTGCTTCATCTACTTTTTCTTTTATGCCCCATTAACTTGAAAAATGACAGCCATGCTTCTTGCTTCTGTTTATGTTTGGTTTCTGGCCAATTTCACCATCAGTGTTTCATCATGAGTACCTGAAATTACAAAGTTTCAGAAACTGATTTTGAAGAAGAAACATTTACTTACTATCAAGCAAAACCACCCAGCAACCTAAACCTCTCACTTTGGCAAAGCAAAGCTTTTGCGCTTTGTATTTTGACTCATACTCCCCCAACTCTGTTTTGTTATAACTGGTACATGTGTCTCACAATGGATATTAGATGTTAAAATAAACAAATGGCAAATATAGAATAGTTACTGTCCAAGTTTAAGGAACACTTTTTCCTTCCTTTTGAAATATAAATGGTTTTCGAGCGCTTAACACATTCAGGCATTAAACAAGTAAAGCTTTAAGCCCTCTCAGGGCCTGAGGACTATTAATCTATGGAGGGAGGGGAAAAAAAAAAAAAGTAAGTTTTGTTCAGGTTGGAGTTACCTTTTTACCCTAAGCAGAACAAAACTTTAAGTCTGAACCTGAAGAGCCAGGCTCTACATGGTCTCTAACACACAGCAAGAACAATACTTTCAGTAGATTTCTAAGTTCCTAAGGGTCATGTGCCACTGATTTGCAGAATCTGTTGAAAAAAAGTACTGGCATGAAAATTATGTACAATGTTTTATCACACAGAAAAATCTCCAAGGTAAAAAAACCAGAATACTGTTGCTACCTTAGGCAGATTTCTCCCGTTTCTGTAATGTTCGGATGCCAGATTCTTGTCAAGCATTTTACCTTTGGAGGCTGCCAGGAGAGAAAACAAGTTACAATGTTATCATTTAAAATAAAACTGTATCACTAAGTCACAGAACTGAAAAAGGCGAATATATTTGATATTCACAGCCTATGTTTGAATGTTAAAGACCTGGATAATATAACCTACAAGAGTTACACTAGCTTTCTCTGCCCTTTTAGTTTCTCTCAGCTGTTTACAAAAGCTGGGCTGGTATTAGGTTTTTTTCTTAGAAAAAGATAATTTTAAAGAAAGCCAAGAAAATTTACTCTCTTCTCCCGTCTACTTCAGGGGAAAAAAACCCATATGTCATTCAGTTTCTTAACACTTAACCCGTAAGACAATGATTTAAAATGGAAAACTACCAACTGTTTTCCCCCAAGGCTTATCCAAGTCAGGGGTTTGTTAAAAACCAGCAGAGGATGCAATGATAATCACTACATCAAAAGAACAGCTTCTTTTAAATGCAGATCTTCCTGTTCACAATTGAATAGAAAGTATCACAAGAAGCATCAAGAAGGCATGTCATATCCAAACTTAAGACACTAACATAAAAAGCCACCAAACTTATTTCCAGGCAAGATCACCAGATTTCTGAATTCCATAGCCAGTTTTGAAATACAGATTCTTAAAATACAGTCTCATTTGCTATAGTTTTGTGAAGTAAATAAAGAGCAAGTCATAAAAATTCTGGTAGCTTAGCAACAGCATGTTGTTCCATCCATGCTCTCCAAATTACAATTCACAGCTTTCAATCAAGCAGATGATTTCTTATAGTAAGTGTACTGGAATACATCAGCACAGACCAGTACCTTTCATAACTTCAATTAAATCACATAGTATAGATGTGGAGCTATTTTCCTCCACTGCTTCCCATGGAGTCTTCAGTCAAGAGACAAAATAGCTCAAACAGCTGTATTTGCATAGCAGCATGAGGTGTTTTGTCTCATCACTTTGTTCTCAACTTCCCAATTATCTTTTTAGTAAAGAATTTTTTTTTTAACCACGACTCCTTGGAGAAAAGGTAAGAAAATATGCATGGTACTGAACTACCAATAATGTACCTGTCCAGCACTAAAAGAAGAAATACTTATCACCACAACACATCTGGAATTTATAATGCAGACATTGACTTTTCTCCACTCTTATTTCATGTTTGTCCAATAACTCAAGTGACACTGACTGCCCCAGTGCTGAATCACAGCATTATTGAAAATTAAGTGGCATGCAGAAAACAGTATCAAACTTTTTACCTTCAAAACAAATGTTTTTCTAAGAAGTTTTCTAACAGCACAGCTTTTCATTAGCTACACCTTCACGTTGTTTTGAAAGATTATGTCTAGTTCTCAAGAAAGGGAAAGCAGCAGTATTTATTCCATGCTGGTAGATCCAGATGAAAGAGTAAATTTCTACCACACGCACCTTCAAACAGGGAAGGTATTGATGAGTAGAAAAAAAAAGTAAGCTTTATACAAACTAAATCTACAAAAAAAAAAAAAAAAAATCCCCAAATCCTCACAGTCAGAGTGAATTAACTGGTGTCTCATTTTTTGTATTGTGGAAACAAAAGAGTTCCTTTATCCTTTCATCAAAGTGTTTTTCATCACTGACCACTCCTGACAGCAAGACAAAGGTTTTCTCCTTCTCTCTCCTTCTGCCTCTGTTAGATAGACAGGACAACTGCAGTAGTATCACAAAATTTATCTTCAAACAAAACTTCTCCTTCAAGTTTGTTCCAAGTCATCTTTGAGTCTTCCTTAGATCACCAAATCCACACAAGATTTCCTCGAGACAATGTTTCACTTGAATATCTCCAAACACCTCCAGGTCATACATGCAACACTTTGTACCACAAAGCTTACAAAATCCATTTATTTCATTGCTCAAACTCATCCTTTACCTCAGATACTGAAAGCTGCACAGGTAGATCCAACCTCAACTGGGGGTCACGACAGTGAACGGATTTTCTTCTCTTTTTCTAAGCATCCACTTATCTTTTAGGATCTCCTGTTAGTTTTGGTAACAGAAACTGTCTGACTTACACATACATTCTCCATCCACTTCAACATATCGGTGAATATATACAGATCGTACAAGAAAGCATTGCAAGCATTTGAAAACTACACATATACTGACTTCAGTTTTGGTAAAGTTTTGCAGAACAACCTTCAGATCAAGTTTGTCTCGTTTCTTTAAAAAATGCAGCAAGTAATCTCTCCCCTCCATTATTCTCGCCAAATGAGAGACTGGATATAAAGTGCTAATCAATAAATGAACTTAATTAACAGTTTCAGATCTCGATCAATTTGGCAAGCCAATCACTCTAATGTGACAGGTCTACTAGTACAGATATGTTTTATCTGTCCTGTAGCTGTAGTTTTTCACTTCACAACCTTTTCCCTAGAGAAGGGATGGGGTTCCTAGCAGAAATTTGGAATCAATGTTATTTCAAGTGTTTTCTCTAGACTCTAGATAGTCCCAAAGCATTCTTATGAATTACCCTGCAACTACAACTACAGGTTTTTCTTTACAGTTTTTACAAACCAGAATACCCAAAAGAGGCATTAACAGGCATATGGATTCCAGAGACCAAGCTACAATGTAGCCCTAAGATATTTCTTGCCAGTCACTCTTCCCTACCAGTTCCTGACAAATTTCTTCATATTGGCTGAAACTGAACACCAAACATGGCTAAGCACTTAGTACAAAGAAACAAGTTGAGGAAAATTAAACCACGCTGCCCTGTGGTTTTGATGGAGTGGATCACCCAGCTCAACAAGTGGAAGAGGCATTGCCTTAAAGTAGGCGTGGGCCTCGACACAAGAACTGCCCAAGGCATGCACTTCAGGTCCCTGGGGTTCCTTGCACCACCTCAAAATTTCCAGATGGAGGCATGATGGGGCATGAGCACAACTCCCATTTCATCAGTTCCAACCCAAGACTTGTATAAAGTAGGGTCACCAAAGAGGTAGATGGAAGCCCCTTAATTGTGACATCTGATCCTTCAGGAACCGAATCCCTTTCGGTTGTTTGCTTTTTCCACAACTAACACATTGGCCAGAAAAAGGACCAAGATTAGCAGCTCTGCTGTTAAATTCCTGACTTTTGACCACTGCCTAAGGCACCTCATGTCATAAAAACTTGCTAAGCTGGAGAGTCCCTAAGACTGTCTACTCCTACAACACCATACGTCAGAACCACAGGAGCTGCAAACAAGGCCTGGCTTGTGGTGGCAGACAGTTTAGTTTTATGTGAACATTAAACCGGATCTGTACTATTAATCAGTTTCCATTCCTTAAAAGCACCAGGTCCCTAGTCCTGTAGCACCCATTATTTCATTAGCTGCACCTCAAGGTATGTTTGTGTTGGGACTGAAAATACTGGACAAGACTGGCAAGTCATTTAGCCTACAGAAAAAAAGAACATCTATTTTTAAACATACATATGCATTTTCATTAATAACCTAACCATAACCCAACATTCAACCCACTGCAATTTTTTCTAAACTGCAAAGGCAAACTTTTTACTTTTGTGTTGAATGAGAGGTGCTCAGAATTTAAAAATTTCTAATTAACATTTGCAGTAGATTTTCTGCCAGTGCTGAGCAGGGAACCATAACAAACCAGAAGTTTTTTTTTTTAATTATAGCAATTGAGAATCAAAAAACCCCAGATCAAAATTATCATTCAGCTCTCCTGCTAACACAGAGGAAATACTTTCCTGCAGCAGTGTTGTTAAGAAGGTGTTAACAGTGCTGTTAACAAAAGGTTAAGAAATTAAAATTAGTTTTTATTGTGTATGTTCCCCTGTGCCCAGCATTGCCGCAGTGGTTAAACTACTACTACTGAAGATGACTAAAAAATTGAACAGCAGAGAACATGACAGGGTTTCCCCCTTTATACTGAAGGCCATGTTTCTCAGGTATGCAATGGCACAATTTATTCAAATTAGAACAAGGATGTAGTCAACCTTAAATGACCACCTTTGTCTTCATAGTGTGTGTGCATAACCTTACACAAGCTAGTAAAAATGGCCTGTATTACAGTATGAAATTCTTCAGTGAGGTTAAAGGGAACTTTAAAAAAACCCCACAATCAAAACCATACAACTGCAAACACTATTAGTGCATGTAGATATTTTAGATACAAGTATATCAATAAAGACCGCCAGGATCCTAAACACTTCAAAAAAATAATAGCTTGAGTAGATAATCCTTGACTAATATTACTATGAAAGGAGAGCACAACTATGAGAAGAAGAAGGAGGAAAATTCAAAGCTCTTTTAGAAGTGCTATGGTCCTCTACAAGCATGAACTTTCTCCTAAGATATAGTGCATGTCCCATGTATTCATAGACTATAAATAAAGGAGTATTAGGAAACTTGTGAAGGTATGTTCTGAATGTGAACCCAACTCCTCTGCTTTCAGAAACATAACCTTTCTAGTCTACCAGCAGTGTTAACACGCTGTTCTCCAAGCTTGGTCTGGGAATTCAAGCTATTACATACCAGACCACTGCACCTACTTCATACATGTATATAAACAATGCTGTGGCTGCAACTACGACATATATATGATGCTGAATTTAGGCTTGGTGTATCTGAACACAAAAGCCAAAGGTCTTCCCGGACACTTTTCTCTAGTATTGTCCCCTACACATTCTTCAGCCTCCCTGAAAGAAGAGTTCTGAACTATCAACACCAAAAGTAAAACAGAAAGCAGAAGTATGGGAAAAAAGTTACAAAAGTAAGCAAAATTATCAAAAAACATACAAACTAAAGAAAAAAAAAAGTGAGACTTCCTTCTTCCTGCAATTCATATAGCTAAATGCAGATATTGCAACTCAAATGCTCAAATAATTCTAGTTTTCTTACATATCAAACTATCAGAACACAGAATGGCAGGCATAATTCCTGAGAACCAGACATGGGTCCTGATTGTTTTCCACTTTTTGGAGTCAATCTTGTTCTTTTGACAGCTGAACTCTGAAAACAATATCTGAAGTTATTTTATTGTAATTGCACCTCCCCTCCCTTGCAAGGTTCTACAATTTTAATGAAGTACAATTATACCAACGTTTCTTATGCTTGAAAAGGCCAAGTTGTCTGGAGCTTTCTATTTAACTACAATAAGATACTGCAATACCGTAGGTCCTCTGGAAAGCTGTTTGCTTAATAACCATTGAAATTGTTATTTTTTAATGATACTTAACTAAACAGATGGGGAGACAACCAGTAGAACTGGCGGAGTGCACTGAAGGACGCCACTTGCCACCGCATCTGTGCTTTCCATGTTCTCTATTGCATGTTCTCAAAAGGGATTAAGCACCTAAGTCCAATATCAGAACTATAAGCACCAGTTTGAAGGTCCCAGAGGAAGAAAAAGAAAAAAACTTTGCCTTTCTGTTCACTTATTTCATTCTTTCTCTTAGATATATCATTTTTTGTAAGAATAATGATTAAGTGCACGTCTCAAGAATAATTAACGGGAGAGAACACATGAGAGTGGAACCTCAACCAGAAGGAAGATTCTCAGGTCCGACTCATCTGAGCTTCTGAGCAGCTTCTGACAGACAGTTGCAAATACTAATTTTTCCTTTAAGTAATAATATCACTGAGGCAATAAAAGCCTCAAGGCTGTTTGGTTACAAACACTGAACTGTAAAAGAATAACCAGAGAAATTATTATTCCCACTCCATGAGATTCATGACACTGCATGTGGAATATTGTGTCCCACTTTGAACTCCCCAGTACCAGATATATCAGCAAACTGGAGCGAGCACAGCAGACAGCCACCAAGATGGTGATGAAACCGGAGCACAGGCAGTACAGGGAGAGTTGAGGGACCTGTACTAGTTCAGCCTGGAGAAGAGAAGGCGGAAGGTGGGGACCCTATTGCTGTCTACAGCTACCTAATGGGAGGGTATAGAGGAGATGGAGTCAGGCTCTTAGATGTGCACAGTGATAAAGCAAGAGGCAACAGACAAGCTGCAAAAACGGAAATTCTGATCTGATGGGGGGGAGGGAAACGACACACGATACACACAGGAAATCACAACAAAGGTAATTAAACATCGGAACAGAGGCCCAGAGAGGCAGTGGAATCTCCATCCTAAGAGATTTTGAAATGCCAACTGTCCTAGGCCTTGAGCAACCAACTCCCACTTTAACACTACCCCAGCTTTGAGCAGGAGTTTAGATGAACTCCAAAAATTCCAGGCAACCAAGATTTTTCTACAATCCCATGATACTTTCATAACAGACAGAAGATCCTTCCTTGTCTCAATGCCAAGTTCCCTCTGAAGTCTTATTACCGGGAAAGGCAATATAAAGTGACAATTACTAGATTAATGACAAATACTCACCACCATATTGTAGGCATCAGGAACTTCAGTTTCGAACTGAAACTTTCCACCTTGGTAATAGCCCTCATCTAGCAAAGAAAAAACAAGAAAAATAGTTAAATAAAAGAAAATAACGTATGCCATATAATATGAAATATCTGTATTACAAAGATAAAATAACAGCACGGGGTTATCATGAAATACTTAACCTAGTTACACCGTAACACTAGCTGCGTCCTAGTCCAAAGAGTGTGAACATAGTGTCTTCCCTTACTCCCAAAACCTTTACAGCAGAAATTGATTTAAGTCAGAAGAGTCAATAGTCCCCCAGTGACCCCAGATTAAACACCTTCCTGATCAGAGTATCGGGCAATACCAAGCTAGAGGAACCTTTGACTGAACTTTTCATGTCTGTATGAACAAAATTCTGCCACACGTCAGCCATATGGCATGCAGTACCACAACACCAACACTTGGAATGAGCTGGACACATATTTCACTTGCTAACGCGTGCTAAACCCTGCTCAAGGATTTAGCACACCTTCCCAGACTTGTGCTAGCAATCACATATCATGAGTAGTATCAGTAATGGTGTGCAAGAGCATGCTTCAGAGCGTACTACAATAAAAGTGCAAGTTAGCTCTTTTGTTGTAATTATCTTAGGATGCTATATCAGTTAGGAAAACCTGCCTGCCTCTCCGTCAACCTCAGACTCAATACTGAATTATTAAAATGGCTAAATTTTAGACTATGAAATCTGAAAATATTTAGTTGCATTTAACCAGAGGTAATATAATAGGATAATAGTCGGCCTGCAACTCTTGAGATGCCTGTGCTTGGAAGCTGAAATGCTTGCAAGTATTCTGAAATGTGTCTGTCTGCCATTGGCATTATTGAGTTTTTTCATTAAGAAAGGGAAACAGAAAGGTACCCAGCCTGCACTGGGGGTTTGGGACACCCGAGAAATGCTCAGGCTCAAACTACCTCAAGTACTCTAGCTCTCTGTATCACGCAGCCACAGTGAAGGCTTGAAGGTCAGGAAGGCTGGTTATCACTGTGTCCTGGTCTAGCTCCAATAACTAAGCACCACGCAGCCGCTCGCTCACTCCCCCTACCCCGATGGGATGGGGGAGAGAATCGGAGGAGTAAGAGTGAGAAACACTCCTGGGTTGAGACAAGAACAGTTTAATAATTGAAATAAAGTAAAATAGTGATGATAATAATAACAATAGAATAATAATAGTAATAATAATAATATACAAAGAAAGTGATGCACAATGCAAT